GTGGGGAGTCGGGGGACTGACCAGCTGCTCAGCCTAGCGGAGGACGCTGCAGAGAACCCCCGCCCCAGCTTAGTGGGGCTGTTGAAACCCTAGAGAAGCAGATGTGCTGTCCCGGAAAGGCTGTTGCCTGGGACTGTAACGCTGAATAACCATGCAGAGTTTGACCTACAGAAGCGGTGGTTTCATGTGGGCCAGTGTAGCACGTAGGTTCCCCGTAAGTTCAAAGCTGACGTAACCAGTCAGACTGAGCAGTCCCGAGACGATGGCAGGTCGCTGAGATGTCCTTCAACAGCCTCCATCACTGCTTTATTCAGGACCTGGATGTGCACATAGTGTGTGTGAATGCTGGGTCATAAATGTCAGCTCAGCCCTGCTGGATTATTTTATTAAAAGGAAATGTGAGCGTGTAGCACAGTCTTCCCTCGATCTGAAGGCCTGGGGCTGGTGTGACTGCCCCCAGCCCCTCCTCGGCGCCCCGGCGGGTGACGCGGTGGATGGCGTGGACTCCAGCACATGGAGGAGACGTAGGGCAGGGCTCTGGTCCTTCCCAGTGTCCGAGAAACGAGCCCAGACCAGCCGACAGGAGCCCTGGGCTCTGACTTCAGCACCATCACTAAAAACCTCTCTGTTCTGAGGGAAGGGTATGCATCGCCCTGCCTCAGTTTCCTCATTTGGGAGACGGTCAATGTGCCTGGCCCAGTGGCTTGAGGGTAAAGATATGATGAAGTGTTTCTGTGCATACTTACATTTTTTTTTAAAACATTCTGAAGCGTCCTTTCATTGTAGATTGGCTTTTAAAGTGTATTTCCAAATACCACAGGACCTGGTTTGTTGCAGTTTGCATGGTTGATCCCAGACTGTAGACTGAACGAAGCTCAGTTGCTTTTTTTTCAAATTTTAATTTTTTTAAATCTTTTATTGAAGTGTAATTGATTTATCGTGTTAATGTCAGGTGTACAGCACAGTGATTCAGTTACACATATACATACATATAGATACTTTCTTTTCAGATTCTTATCCATTATATGTTATTACAAGAAATTGAATATAGTTCCCTGTGCTACACACTAGGTCCTTGTTATTTATCTATTCTGTATATAGTAACATGTGTCTGTTGATCCCCAGCCCCTAATTTATCCCTCCCCACCCTCTCCCCTTTGGTAACCATAGTTTTTCTATGTGTGTGAGTCTGTTTTTGGTTTGTGAATAGAATTTGTATCATTTTTTTTAGATTCCACGTATAAGTGGTATTATATGATATTTGTCTTTCTCTGTCTGACTTACCTCACTCAGTGTGATCACCTCTAGGTCCATCCATGATGCTGTAACCTCCAGCTGCTTTAGAATTCAGCGGAGATAAGCAGTAAAGCACAAAAGAGCTGTGCATGCTATCAAAGGCGGGGAAGTTTCTCAGACATTCAGTAGGTGGCATCGTCTGCTGTGTTAGGCGGAGTTGCTGACTGCAGGGTGGAGGTGAAGCTGGTGGCCACGTCTGCAGGGGCTCAGTGTTTATCACCACTTGATTATTAAGGACCACGTTGGCCCAAGATGAGTGCACGGATATGGTCCTTTTAGTTTTGAAAAGGGAGGGAGATAGGAGATAACAGACGAAGAAGAAAGGGCTGCAGGGAAGTGTTGGTGTAACAGCAGCTCAGAATTACCTGTGCGGAACAGGAATAAACTGGTGCAGGAAAACAAAGTTATAGGACCGTTCTCTGGAAGAGGAGAGGGAACTCACTGTATGAAGCTAAGTAACATCGCCACAGCGCCTCTGGAACGTTTTTTCTGACGAGCGGATGGTTAGGATCGAGGAATTTCTCAGGGAAAACAGTTGCTGGTTCATTTTCGCGGGTGGCATGAACCGGAGCATCTGGAGCTCCTCCCCGTGCGTCTGTGGGAGCGCCGATGTGTCAGCCACACTCCCGTCTCCTGGATCCTGGATGAAGTTGAGAGAAGCAATGACCTGTCCCTCTGAGGTCAGAACAGGGTGTCTGTGTCCTTTCCTTTAACAACAGGATAGCTTTCCTGGCCATAAAACTCCGATGTGGGTATGTTTGAGATCACAGGAATGTTACAGACCCTGAGCAGACACTAAATAAGAAGTTTAAGACCAAGAAGGAGGCTGGCGGCCTGGAGTTCTGCTAGCAGACATGGTTGTTGGGGGTAATTCATAGTAAAGGAAGTGGGCGAGGCAGTGTCCTCCTGTACTGGGCAGATAGAGGAGGCTAAACATGGAGGCCGTGAAAAAAGGAAGGTTGACTGCACACCTGCCGCGTGCCAGGCGGGGAGCTTTCATTTGTCCTTTGCTTCGATGTCTTAGTAGGAAAAACAATTTTTCAAAAAAATTTTCATTCTTGCTGTTAGTCTCTATGTGGTCATTATTCTTGTTTCTCGGGAGAGTTAAAGAAGGAACATGGTTGGGCCGTGTCCCGAAGACAGACTGAATACATATTCAGGATTTATTGGCTTCAGGATTCTCTTATCATAGACGCAGAGCCTCTCGACAGAATCTTAAGTTTGTTGGGGATCTGACTATTCCAGGAGAGAGGAGGCTCTTTCTGCTTGGCAGACTTCCTGGCGAGTGTGATCAGCAACGGGGGTGAATCTGAGCGTTTATAGGAGTAACTGCGTCCAATGGTCTTAATAACCTTGGGAAGGCGGGCGAGCCTCAACTCCCGTAAATACCCAGATATGGTGCCTAGGGCACACGGAAACCACAGAGGGCCATTTCCCTTCAAATGCTCTCATCCAGCGGGATCCATCAGCCAAAACAAAGGACCTGCATGTTGAGCCAACAGGTGTTCCACGCCCCTTCCCAAATACTGCCAATCTGGTATGAAAATAGAGTCCTTGGGATAGCTCAGTGGTAGAGCACATGCTTAGCATGCACAAGGTCCTGGGTTCAATTCCCAGCACCTCCATTAAAATAAGTAGACCTAATTCCCCCCCTAAAAAAAGCAAAAACAAACAAAAAATAAAGTCCAAGGGTGAAGGATTAAGAGTCTAAGAAGAGGACATTTTCAGTTACTCTCAGTTTTCACTGAAGTTGCTTTTCACGTTAGGAAAACACTGTGTGGTGACCAGATGTCTTGGTTTCCATGGCAGAGAATGGAGGATGGAGGAGAATGAATTAGCAGGGGACGTTCAGCTGGACTGAGCACCAGGGAGTAGCCGTCTGAACGTCGCCCGGCATTTCATTTCACCTTGCATGTGGCTCCTGACGCAGGACGGCTTCTCACCCCTCTCCTTCCTCCAGGTCCACAGACGAGACGTTCAGCTTGGCCGAGGAGAGCTGCAGCTCGAACCCAGCCATCGTGCGGAGGAAGAAGATCGCCGTCAGCATCATCTTCTCCCTGTGCGAGAGGGAGGAGGCGCAGCGGGATTTCCAGGACTTCTTTTTCTCTCACTTCCCGCTGTTTGAATCTCACATGAACAGGCTGAAGAGTGCCATTGAAAAGGTACTGAGACCGTAAGCCGTCGTCCAGTGGAGACGCGGTCACGGGGCTCGCGAGGTGGTGGGGGCTCTAAGCACCACATCCCTTTTGCGGGGAACGTGACTCGTCCAGCAGGGCTGGACCCGTGGGCACCGTGGTGTTAGGTGCCAGCTGCTGGATGGCTTGGGAAAAGGAAATCCCTGCCCCTGTCACCGTCGGTCATTGCTGCCTGGGGTGTTGACTATAACATCGTCTCTTACTAGTAAAGCCCCGTAGATGGTTACGAAGGAATTTCTCCTCTGAGGGTCATGTTGTTTGTTTTCTCTTCAACGAAGGCCATGATCTCCTGTAGGAAGATAGCAGAGTCAAGTCTCCGCGTCCAGTTCTACGTCGGCCGTCTGATGGAAGCGCTGGGGGAGTTCAGGTAAACTGGCAGCGCCCAGGGAGCCCAGCAGGGGACAGGACGAGCCGCAGCAGGGCAGCCGTGGCTCTTGGGCGTTCCCACCACAGCTGTGAGGGCTCCCTTTCCTCTACACTGTTGCCAACGCTTGTTATTTCTTGTCTGTTTGATGACGGCCATTCTGACAGATGTGGGGTGGTGTCTTATTGTGGATTTGAGTTGCATTTCCCTGATGTTTAGTGATGCTTGAGCATCTTTTCATGTGCCTGTTG